CCAAGAGGGGGACGGCGTTCCTGTACGGCGAGGAGGCGGTCAACACCTTCCTGCAGACCAACTCGTTGACGCACATCGTGAGGGCCCACGAGGTGCCGGCCCACGGGTTCACCTTTCACTTCGGCAGCAAGTGTACGACCATATTCTCCTGTTCCCACTATTGCGGCAATAATAACGAGGCGGCCTGTGTTCACGTCGACAACGAGAAGCTCCGGATTGTGCGCTTGGATACCGTCAACAACGCCCCGGCCAGTGATTAGCAGCAAAGACCGCGGCTACCATTCCCCTCAAGTATATATATATATGTTTATTCGTTTGCCACTGTTTTTCACACACTTTTCAAACTCTTAATTCCAACACATATTCTGTAAACTAATGTCTGAAATAAATCAAAACAGATTTAATAGAAATAAAACAAATAAAATAGTTGTTTTTTGCTAAAATGCTGTTTATTCATTTTATTGTGGTTTTGTCGAAAAGATCGTTTAAAAAACAGTACATTTAATAGTACAATAATTGATATTAAGTTTTTTGATCAAAATAAGACTATTCTGAGACATTGATTGCAAAATATTTGACACATTTTTAGGGAAACAAATAGCTGTCAGAGGACGAAAGAGAGAGAGAGAGAGAGAGAGAGAGATTTATAAATTATAATTACAATTATACACTTAATCCGTTTCATAAAAATTTGATATGAGTTGATGAAAAATGCATAATTGTCTATAAATTTTAATCCACAAAATAGTCTAGATATTAAAATAATAAATACAAAAAAGAAAAAACAAAAAAAATCTCATTTATAATATCTAACAATCAGTCCATAGTCGAGAAACTTTCTTAAAACTACTAATCGTTTCAATGAAAAGCCAACAGAAAAGCCTAGAACTGGAGTACAACACACTCTCTGCAAAAACACATATTTATTATCATTTAATTAATAATAAAATATTTATTTAATTTAATGTGCGATCGATTAGTTATATATATCGAGAGATCATATAAATTGATGGCATTTTTCAAACATGAATTACAGAGACGTTTGTTGTGATTATATCGTAGTTTTCGAGAGAGAAATTGCAAAATCTTAAATCATAAACTCATTATAAACGAGTCGAGAGTTCCTATTGGTATTTGGCTTACAATTGATTACCAGAAATGTATTCATTATTAAAAACAAAAAATCGTTTGTTCAGTAAATTTAATAATAATTATTAAAATTCATTCGTTTTGTCGATCAATAAACAACTTCTAAACCGAAATGAATTGAATTATAAATTATCGGTAACTAATGGCTTCGAGCGCGTGGAGAGAGGGACAGTAGGGTATTGAGAGCTGACCACCACTTCCCCGCCCACACCCCCTCCTCCCCGTCACTGACCCGTACTATTTCTTGCTATTCTTTTTGGTCACCTGACCTCTGGGTGGGGTCAGGGGTCGGTTGGCATTCATGGCGCCGTACGGAAACTTCTTTTTATCCGCGGGTTTTAGGATCTAAACAATTATAGACACCAAACAAAACAATTAGCATTAAAATAACAATCAATCATTCAATGCACAAAACATTGCCGAGAAGTGATAAGTGCTTTTCAAGTGTTTGTTAACTCTTATTATGAACACAAATATAGAAAAATACTTGACATTCAAAAAACAATAGCGAGAATCGAGTGATTGGCAACTCTTCGCTCACTTTTCTATTAATTATCGATTAATTTAATGTCAAGTATTGCGTTATTGAATGTCAAGTACTATAGGAAACGCTGACAAACATTAGCCGAACGGACACTAAATTATCGATTCATTTATCAAATCAACAATTTCTACGAAAAGCGCAATGTTTTCAAAAAAAACCTTTCTATCAATAATATTAAACACTTATGACAATCACTCGAAAGGACGTGTATTTGCCGACACCACCCATACCTGGAAGGAGCACATGAGGGTCTCGTCCACCGACATCATAGCCCCCGCGTTGTCAAACTCCCCGCAATAATTGGGCGCCGAGAACAGAGTCACCAGTTGTCGTTTGGCGAAGAACTCATACCCATCCTCTACAACCTATACAGTCAATCAGACAAAACACAAACCATTAGCAAAACCACACAAACCACAAACACCCGGTTCCTCATACCTGATGGGCTCTGCAGATGAGGTCTAAGTCGTGTTTATGGAGGAACTTTCCGACCACATCAGCGCCGAACGTATAGCTCACGCCTCTGTCATTCTCGCCCCAACCCATCACATCCTTGTCCGGGTCCGACCACAACAGGTCGCACAGCAAGCCCTGGTCGGGCACATCGGTGGGCCGCATAATGCGTCGAATTTGTTCCATTGAGTGGAGATCAGGGCTGAGCCCTCCGTGACAGCAGAAGATCTTCTCGTCCACAATGGCCGCCACCGGAAGACAATTGAAACAATCGGTAAACGTTTTCCATAGCTTTATATTATAGCGTCGTTTGCCTTTAAATATCACAATATATTAGCAATGATTTGATATCAGATAGAGTGTAGACACCGGACCACTGCCGGTGCCCAACAAATCAAGTGGACATACATTCATCGTAGAAGCCGTAGATGCGGTTAATGGAAGCGCACTCGTGATTGCCTCTCAACAGGAAGAAGTTCTCCGGGTATTTAATTTTATAGGCGAGCAGTAGGCATATGGTCTCCAAGGATTGCTTCCCGCGGTCCACGTAATCGCCCAGAAATAGGTAATTGGATTCGGGAGGAAAACCTCCGTATTCAAAGAGACGCAACAGATCGTAGTACTGGCCGTGAATGTCACCTATAGATCAGCCCATACATGGCAATGGGAGGGAACCCATCATAAAAAATAACAAAAACACTGATTAAAACACTT